TCATTACGCTCTTGCGCGATGCTGCGTTCAGGACAAGCATGGAAAACTCACCGCTCTTATGCCAATACGGTCGCAAAGATGCATTTAGGTACCGAAATGGAATTGCATGAACATCCACGTGGTGGTTATGTAAAACAGCGAATCGATAATAAAAAATCTTCATCGACAAATTTACATAATCGACGTCATCGATTATTTCAMCTAATCGGTGCAGCCCTAATCTAAATCATACAAGACCACCCAAGATATTGCATGTTACAATTTCAGAAAGCTGTAACTTTCACATAGAAAGGCTAAAATACACCAAACTTGGTTTGAGTCATCCGTGTTGCATTCCTGTGCATACCATGTGATATGACATCATCAAGGTCCTACTCCCTGACAACAGGAAGTGACCTTTTTTTGGCTAGGAAAGCTTGACCTCTGACCCTCCTGACCTAATCAGCAACAAGTTGTGTCAGAACACAGATGAGAACTTCATCTCACTTGCTTTCAAGCACAAAGACTTTTTAGTGAAAGCTGTGGTCATGGCGGTGCAGCGAATTCAGACATCACACCGTTGACATACGTTTGGCTCTAAATTCCACATATTTCAGCCAATAAGCATGCTATTCACTATGGCTGATCCTGATCYACCCCACTACTGGAATGCAGTCTAATTTTTGGAGGGTGTGGCCTAATTAGACATCATGCTGTTGACATATAATTGGCTCTAAATCACACATACATGATCTGATGTGAGCCAAATTTTGTGTGCATCATAAGGGAGACTTGCTCAACACGTTTGTTTCGTAGTTTGACAAGATCACTTTAGCCCCCCATCCGTCCATCTGTTCACCTTATGAGATTATTTAAATAATGAAGGCCTGCTAACAGTTGGTCACTACTGAATGGCGACAGGGGTCATCAGCAACAGTTGGCGTCGAGTTCTGTCGTGTTATAATAGAGTCCAATGTTCCGACTGGTTGAGTTAAGACCATCAAAAGGTGGTCTTGAGTACTACAACACTACCCCCACGTTTTGTTATTCAGGTTCCTTGTATAACGTTTATTGCTAAGAAGCATCATTGCAACTAAAAATAATCTACCAAACACATTTCCTTATGTCATTTAAAGTGTTTATTTTATTTATTTATTTTTGTGTCAGAATTGTTCAGACTGATCTTCAAAACTAAATGTTCAGATTTATTTTTATCTTGAACAGCTGAATCCCACTTAATACTGCTGAGCGACTGAACACCTTTGACTTTTTAAATATCAGTCTGCTTGCTTAAAACCACAACTACTGCAGGAATGACCCTAATGTGCTGCACCTGGTGTCTTTTCTTTAAGTTTTTATGATTTGTTTTGTCAGTTATGTTTGGTATTTCACACTGTTATCACCATGTAATCTCAAAGCATGCTCTTTTCATCGTACAAATAAAGAACCAAGCATCAGGTAAGGCCACTAAGGAGTGAAGTTTTAGCACCGCGATCCTGTTGCTCTGTGTGTTCAGGATGAGGACCCAGAAACCAGCTGGCTGCTGCTCTGTGAGGAAGATCTGATCTCCCTGCTGAACCAGTTCCCCTTCCAGCAGCTTTACTCACACATGCTGGGGATGAGCAAGCAGGGTAAGGAGGTTCCTCTCTGCTGTGTGTCGTGTTTCTGTCATTCATCACACGAGCTGACGGACAGCTCTGATTCCAGGTGTGTACGAGCCCCAGGCCTGCTCCAGTCAGAAGATGATGCGCGTCTTCGCCTTTGCTTCCTCGCTGATCGAAATCCTCTCTCTTGGTTTACAAACGTACAACAGAGCGCGCTACAGGCAGCTCGTCAAACGAATAGGACACATCATACGGTCAGTGCGCTGCTGACAGGACCAGTCACTGCAACACAGCMGTCAAAACTAAAACGCTCGTCTGATCTGTTCCTCAGCATGACGGTGTGCTACGTGAGCGATCACTGGGCTCAGTATGTGAGCGTGACGGAYGCTGCTGGATCCAGCTCTCTTGTTCACTCCATGTCTTTGGACAAACTGCAGCTGGAGTATGATCATCTCTTCCTCAGAGCTGTTTTACATGTTCTCAGAAACAAAAGGTGAGAAACAGTCGAGTGTACGTCTTAACTGACAGCGATTTTTCTTTACAGGCGTGCAAATGCTGACTCGGCATTCACACTAAAGTTTTCCTGTTTCGTATTTTACTGTAACTACTTCTTCAAACTTACTCAGTCATATATCAAAAGGTTTATCTCGTTCAGGAGATGCGTGCTTTTTTATATACTACTCAAAATAGTTAACTTTATGTACAAGTATTTACCCTTAGAGGTATTTTGAGATTTCTTCAATTCCTTCTAAAGCATCCCTCTCTATCTTTTTGCTAGCCGTTAGCTACTTTTTGCAAATTAATTAATCTTTTGCTACTTGTACCTAATGTTTTCTACTTTTAGTTTCTAGCTATCATTTTTCTGCTTTTAGTTTTCAGCTAGCTTTACATTAACTTTTATTCAGCCTTTTGCTACTTTTAGTCTTTAGCTAGTGTTCTGCATTTAATTTTAGCTATTATTTTACTCCTTTTACATTTTTAGTCAAACTGGCTACATTTAGCTTTTAGCTATCATTTTGATACTTTGATTTTTATGTAGCATTTGCTTGCTTTAGCTACTGTTCTGCTTGTTTTCACTTTAAAAAACTCAGTTTCAGCTCCTTCAACAAAATTTAGCCTGTTATTCATCATTCCCACAGCATTGCCATAGAAAAATATGTTTATCTTATTTATTTATTGTTTTCTCCTGGCAGGTTGGGCATCTGGTTGTTTATGTCAGAGATGCCCTACGGGACTCTGTCCAGCTCTATGCGGTGGAAGGTCCTGTACGTGATGCAATGTGCAGAAACAGCAGGACTGGAAACACTCAGCGGTGTTGCAGACACACACTCCTGCATTCAGGCTCTCAGAGGTATCATTGTACACRTTGAATAAGAAGTGCTAAATATATCCTTTTAAAGCTGAAAAGTATTTAATAAGCACATGCTTTGTTTTATTATTAGAATGCAGTCATGCTGTTTTTCTTTAAACTCAAATTTGATTACATTTGTAGTAAAACTGCAGCAGAATTTGAAAAAAAATATCTTCTCAAAATTTGTTTTGTGGAAGTTAACTTTTAGTTTATTTCTTGTCTTGTTTGTGTCTGGTAACAGACCCAAATCACCAGGAGAGATTTGAGCGATGGCTGTGTGAGGTGAACAGCTCCGATGGCATCTCCCTCCTCACCGCACTCGCACACATGGCCACACCCACTCAGCACTTTGACCCGGCATTCATCACAACCATCACTCTGCTGATTTATCAGGTACCGAAAAGAACTTCTAAAGGAAATACTAGGAGAACAAAAATGAAAGAAAACTCGARTCGTGTTATAACATTGTAGATGTAAAAAGGATGTGATTGTATGTTTGCACTCAATGTGCATTTCATGATCACTTCTTCACATCGTATTTGACCTCCTTTTTCCTGTTTTKGCCCAGGTGTCTTATGTCAGTGTGTCTACCAGAGAAACTTACTCAAAGGTGGGGAGGGAGTTGCTGGCTGTCATAGCTTCAGCCCATCCCCATGTCATCTGCGTGCTCCTGGAGAGGCTGAGAGAGACCATACAGACTGTCGGAATGGTCAGGACGGCTTTCTCAAAACTTCAAGTGTTGTCAAATCRTTTGTATAAATGGTAMARGTTTTATTTATGAATTTGTTTTGTATGATTTAGATGGCTCTGTACTTGTGCAAAGAGCTGCCTCTGAGTCTGTGGAAGCCACAGCCGGAAGAAATATCAGTGATTGGAGCCTGGCTGCTTCAGCATCCTCTGTCTGCWGTGGAGAACCGGTTGGCTTGTGTTATCCTGGAGGGTCTCAACTGGGGTTACTCACAGGTACTCATGAAAACATTGGATTCTTTCTGAAATTCTTAAAAACCCTTTGTAAGTTATAAATACCTAACCTGTTTTGTTTTGCAGGACGGGTCTTTGGCCCTGCCCTCTGTCCTCCACAGTGAGGTGGCTCTGCTGGTGGCTGAAGCTTATCAGAAGTATCTCACAGATAAACCAAACAGTGGCCTCATATCAGAAGGAATCAAACAGGTGACACAATCTCACTTCTGACACTCGGTTTCATTATTCATGATTCTTTTGTGAGTATTTTATCCTGTTTTCTTCTTCAGGTGTCTTACCTTGCCAGTGTCCTTCGTTTGGGCGTATCTCCCGAAGCATCCTTCAGTCAGTGGGCGTGGCAGCTGCTGCTGCGGCTGAAGCTSCATGGAAACTCCCAGAACCCTAAAGGATCCTGGGCAGTGCCTGCTTTGGCGTCTAACCCACCTCCGGAGCTCACACACGCTCCCAGCATGCACTCTGTTCTCAGGGCTGTAAAAGCAGGCCTTCCGATTGGATGCTACCTGTCACTTGCCATGACAGTCGTGGGGCACAGGTTTGTACAAGATGAATGTTTACATGTCTTTGTTCTTTAGAATATAAACTAATATGATTGTATGTTATGTAAGAAAAACATGTGAGTGATAAATGATGGACAAAATTCATTGAAAARTAAATTGTTAATTGAATTGTTAAACTCAGCAAACCCATAACTAAAAGTTAAAATGAGCAAAAATGTTAATAAAAGCTGATGTTCACRAAACATTAGGTAAAAATACAATCTGCAAAGGCATGAAGAAATGATAAAACTATCAAATCTGTAGCTATAAACAAAAATTAACTAAATCACAACTAAATGCAAATGTTAATAAAATAGSAGGTAAAGGCTAAAACTAGCAAAGCTGTTGCCGAAAGCTAGAATGAGCAAAAATGTAACGAAAACCAAAACTTTGCAAAGCATTATTTGAAAATGAAATCAGCTAAAGTTTTAACTYAAAGCTATAATGAATAAATCTGTAGCTAAATGTTAAAACAAAAAAACTATAACTGAAAGCAAAAATTTTCTTAATTGTTGCAAAAAACTAAAATGAGCAACATCAGAGACACAAACTAAAATCAGAAAAACTGTAGCTAAAGGCTAAAACTGGCAGTAGCTTAAAGCTAATTGTAGCAAACCATAGCTAAAAACCAAATATTTTAAAATTGTAGCTAAGAGCTAAAATTAGGAAAACCATCGCAAAAGCTAAAAGGAGAATAAAATCTACTAAAAGTCATAACCTACTATTCTTGATCGAGCCAAACATTTTGATATGTGAATGGATAAAAAAAGCACAGCTTTTGCAAAATTTGTTGAATAAAAACAAAATTACTGAAAGAAACTATAAAAAAGGAAAGCTATTAATAGTTTGTGGTGTCTTTTTACAGACTGGAAAAGTTTTGTACTGATGGAGTTGAGTTGTTAAAAAGTTTGATTCAGTCTCGTTACCTGAGAGCAGCTGTGCATCTGCTGGATAACATCCTGCCTCCGACCTACCCTCTGAGYTTTTACCTGCTCAACAATCCTCAGTGAGTCTGAAAATCTGAATCTGTCATGCAGCACAGGAAGGCTGCCCTCCCACAGTCTGCACTAACCACGCGTATCCTGTCAACACCAGGTTTGTAAGTTGTATCCAGCTGTTCCTGCAGTACGACAGCGTTTGTCCTCAAGGTGTGACGCAACACGTCACACATCGAGTAGCACCACTTCTAACCGGAACCACGTATGGAGACAACGTCCGTCTGCTAAACAGCGTCATTCAGGTACATCAGAACAACTCGCATCATAACGACTTTACAGCTTCAGCTGATGGACAACACACAATTATCACATAAATATTATCACACAGAGGTTTTTAAGATAATTCGTTTTTCAGAGTCACATTGTGGAAAGCTCTCGGCCCGGCCGTGTTGGAGCTGCTGCAGTGCTGGAGTTCTGGGTGGGRATCCTGACTCTGCAGAACTTGTGGTATCGAGACAAAACTGTGCTGTTCCTCATGGATCAGATCTGCTGTGCTGCCTTCGTTCACCACCAGGAGGAATGTGTGCAGAAGCTCCTCTATCAGCAGCACAAGGTATTTACTGTGTCTGCTTTTCAGAAATTTAAGGGCTCGTGTGAATCTGACAGACACAGATCTAGAGTGTGGCAGGCATATGTCCCCAAGCAATTACACTGGCAAGCTCTGATTTGTTTCTGTTTTCATGCTTTATGCCAGAATGCCTTGGGTTACCATGGAGATCGGGGTCTTCTCTCCTCTCTGGTTGGCTGGTTTGCAGGAAACGCCACACCATCCTTTATCGAGGGCCAATCGCTGAGTGAAGAAGTAAGATATTCTGAGGGAGCAATGTTTAATAAGTGCTTTTGATCATGTTAGTGTCTGTGATGCAGGCTGCAGAAACACTACACACACACACACACACACACACACACACACACACACACACACACACACACACACACACACACGTTTGTTCTTGAATCCCGTGGGGACCTACCACTGACTTCCATTCGTTGTTGTTTTTTTATTTTAAAGCCTAACCCTGACCATTTACCCTAAAATTAACCTTACAGGTACCTACCTGACCCTAAAACTAACCTAAACCTTGGTCCTAAACCTAACCCCACACCCGTAATTTGCATTTGGACCCGTGGGGACCAATGCCAGGTCCCCACTATTCACTTCGGTCCCCATGAGGCTGCTTTTATTGGGAGGGAAATTATCCCCATGTTGTAGAAAAAACCAGCAGCGTTCCCACGGGTCCTTGAAATCCTTGAAAGTTTGTGAATGTGAAAAAAAAAGATTTCAAGGCCCTGGAAAGTTTGTGAAAACAGCCAAAAATTACACTTGTCCTTGAAAGTCCTTGAATGCTTTTTGGGGATTGAAGTTCTCTATTCACACGACTGATTTTCATCCTCCGGAATAAAAATAAAAAAACTTAGATTTGTTGCGGTGGATAAATCAGGATTGCGGTAAACCGACGTGGCTTTCAACAAATAATATGAGCCATAGTCATAGGTTTAGCCAATCAGAGCAGGGCTGGGCGGGTCCTTCTTTCTGAGCCCAGGTGAGAGCACCACAGCTCCTCCTGTCCTCACTGAGGGTCTGGACATGTTCACATCCCCTCCTCCCAAACTGAGCTGCTGAATCTCCCAGGACATAATTACATGTCCATGTATTGTAGATATGARTGTAGGGTATACATTTAATCCACTTTCTTTCATTGATTCTGAATCAACAATTTTTATGTTGTTCAGTTTTTCATTGAATTTACATATTAAACATGTTTTTTGAGAACAATCTGCAGCAACAGTAGGTAATTGCTGTCTCGTGTGGTTCTTGAATTTGAGGAAATTGGTACTGGATTGAAATGTCCTGGAATTTGATGTCGACCAAGGTGTGGGAATCCTGAACCCGTCCACATACACACACTCTCTCTCTCTTTGGACCTGACAACCCTGCTGCTGACTGTAGGTTTGGTTCGCCTGGCTGGTGCTGAACATGGAGAGGCTGTTCGAGGAAGAGTCTCAGCTGAGACGCTGTGTTGAGCATGAGCTCCTGTCAGAGCCCAACATCTCTCCAGATCAAGCCTTAAAGGTAAACATAAATACAATGGGCCTCATGCAAGAACCGTTCGTACGCACAGATTTGTTTTTAAGTTCTGCGTACGAGTGATTTAGGAGAATTTGTGGCATTCACCAATGTTTTCTTATTCTAAGATTTTTTTTCAGATACGAACAAAATTCACGAGTGGTCCAGACCTGTCGTATATTTTACGAGCAGTCAGTCTGCTGTTATCCAGACGGGTTTTCCTCCCTAATAACTTTATATTTAGTTAGTTTGAAGATATTTGGAGTTGAAAGTAAATTACACTCCATTATTATGTTGACAATAGGCTATTCTGCTTGAATTAGAGTTATAATTTTAAATGTAATAATTTAGACTAACTATATAAATTGTCCGTCCGGCCGACTTACCCGCTATCGGGTGCGGGGGCAGCAGGAGAAAGACCCTGCTCTCCCCAGCGACACCCTCCGTGTCCTGGGGGACTCCGAGACGTTCCCAGGCCAGAGGGGATACATAATCCCTCCAGCGAGTCCTGGGTTTTCTCCAAAGTGCCAGACTTATTTTGAAAACATTTTAAAATGCTTATTTCAAACCCCCAACTGAGACCACCTGCGACCGCGCAGCGCGCAGGGGGGTACGGTGCGCAGCGCTGTGGCTTCTGAATAAATGAAAATGATTTAACACARTTGTTTATACTTTTAGCAGCTCTTTTTATTCCACAGCTGACCTGCTAAAAATGACAGATTTTCTTTTCTGGATCTCTGACAGACGGACTTCAATCTCTGAACTTGTAAAGTTTTTCTTTTTTTTAGTTTTCGCTGTCATTTTCATGAATGGACACTTCCTGATATCTGAGGCAGGAAGCGTAGCCTTATATGGTGTTTTTAGGGTGGTAATTATGCTAATCTCCTCTCRCGTGCACGAGCAGCTGGATACAAACAGGTGTAATTTACGCAGCTCATTTACACACTTTTCCTGAAGATAGAAGAGTTTGTTGAATCTGACGTGACATGTTCGTACGAACCCTTCGTATGAACAAAAGTAAGAGAAATTTAGGATAAGAATATGAACATGTTCTTGCATGAGGCCCAATGTTTTGGTGTTTTTCACACATTGAAAGACAGTGAACTTTATGTCAGTTAAATAAATGTTAAAAACAATAAAGACTGTTTTCTATTCTGCAATCCAAATATATGACCACAGGAATTTAGAAAATTGGTCTCTGTTACGATGGTTTATGTTTAAATAACAAAGAATGTGTCTGTTTGTGATCCAGAGAGCACAGCAGAGGCTGAAGCTGCCAGTAGCCCCCTCTCTGCAGAGGCTGCAGGTGTATCGCTGGGCGTGTCAGGCCCTAGCCACCCCGCCTGACCACCCCCTCCTCCCTCTGGTCTGGCAGAAGTTCCTGCAGCTCTACCTCAGGCAGCCTGGACCCGAGTACGGGTAAGAAACACAACTATGGATCCAAATTCCCAGCCAGARAAACTAAAGGGAACAAACAACAACATGTGTCTGCATATGTGTGGCCCAACAGGCTGGCTGCAGGGGGCTGCATCGGACGAAGGTTCTTCCAGGCATCTTCTCATGCTGCTTTACTTAAAGACCTGAGGCAGAGAATACAAGAGGTGTCTGACTTCCACCACGCTGCCAGCCAGGCCCTCAGGGTGCCCCCGCTAAACACACCTTCATCAGATTCCAAGGGGGAGGACACCCCCAGTAATGCCCAACCACCTTACCTCACCTCCCCTCAGCTCCACTCAGAGCTGGTCAGGTAGGTTCCTGATGCAGAATGAAATGCAGAAACACACCTTTTTTATTTCAGAAGTGTGTTTGTATCGTTTATTTTATTCAAGCTCCCGGCTGATTGTTTGCCTGCAGGTTGTTTGGTGTGTTTGCCTTGTGGATAGATGATGGGACTCTGCAGAAACAGGAAGTGTACCTTCCCTCCCTGCCACCRGAGTATGAGGCTCACAGACTGGCGCAGGTCATGCAGCGACAACAGGTCTGTGATCGTTGATGTTTTGTGCATTTTATCAGCCTATGTGTGAGAGGCATCCTCCAAGGCCCTGAGCAAGACTCAAACTCACAGACAGACRATTTCATTACCGCAGCTCTACATTAGAACAAACTTAACTCAATAATTTACGTACAGTCGTCACAGATTAGGTTAAAATGTTTTMCCTTCTTGGCATAAAAAAATCCTGTTTTTTTYCCTCCCTTTTTTGTGTTCAGTTCAAGCTTGCTCTGTCCTCTCCAAACACACTTTTAAACATCTCCTCCTCTCTGGGACACAAGTTTTCCTGAGTGCTATTCCTGCATCCTGCATCAGGTTCTACTGTTTGTATCAATGCGCTAAAACTAACAGAAAGTGTCCATAGGGCGTAATTTTTAACACCCCAAYGAGACTCTATTCGGAGGAGCTGAGAGTGCTGGTTATTGCYGACGGGAGGAGGATGATAAATCCACTGAAAAACACAGGGTGTCAATCTGTACTGCCCTATAACTGTAAAAAACTGAGAATGAATCACWGAAAAACACTCATATTCTATTTAAAATTGTCAAAATAGTTGTAAAACACACATAGTAAAACAATACGTAGCAAGATAAGCAAATAACCAGTTTACWTGGTTTCTTAGGAGGAACTACTTTGYGGGGTGAATGTGTTTTGTTTTAGGTAGGTCAGTTTGGTACAATAACTGATGTGGTATTCTGTGTTGTTTTGTTGCAGGAACTTTGGCTGGAGTATATAGATCAGGAGCGTCTGCAGTATGATGAGAGGGAGGTCTTGTCTCTGTGGGAGAAGGTGCAGAGTGAGCCTACGTTCCTGCAGCCTCAGAGTCCAGGCTTCACAGACCACACCAGCCACAGCAATGGTGCTAATCATGAATTATTAATCTGTATTTAGTGGTGAAGTTTCTGCAAACAAAGCTTAAGTTGGCRTCATCAGGAGATTTGTTTGAGTCTGATTTCTGTCCGTCTCTACATTCAGCAAAAGAGCGYATCCTGTCCAATCTGCAGAAGCATCCGGTTCCTCTTCGAGCTCCAGAGCTCCAGGAGCAGAAGGCTCCCGTGGCCGACGTTCCCACCGCCTGTCTCTCTGACTTTAAAGCTGCTGCTAAACTCATACAGCAGGACCTCAGYATTTTGCAGAATCAGGCCAGGTACGTGGAAATCATTTTCACAGTGTCGGTGAGCTAAAAATCATCACTTCTTCCTACAATACTTCGTCTCTGTGTTAGGACTGCGGTTGCACGTGAAGCCCAGCAGGTGGCGATGGAGCAGGAGCTCCTAGAGAGCCTTTCTGTGCTTTTTAAAAACCAGCCGGAGCAAGTTACCATGACCCTGGAGTGTAAAGGGAAGGGAGGACAGCCATGTCAAGGACCAGCGAACATCACCGTCACAGTGAGAACCACTCACCCCGCATTTTCCTAACCAGTTTATCGTTTTATATTTGCTAACCTGTGTGYGTTTGTGTGCAGTGTGAGTGTGTCCAGAGACAGGAGGCCGTGCACAACCAGATCACTTTGCTGCGCAGGGACATCAAGAAGCTTCAGACTGATTCTATGGCCGCTCCGCCTCAAAGCTTAGCCCAAGCTGCTGTTCACACTGAGAACTTCATCACGTTAGTGCACACAGCTTTCAGCTAATTACAGAAAAAACTAGAATACTCGAGTTTGTTTCAATACAACATCATCGTTTTGACTCGTGGGTATGCTGTCATATAGGAATGTGCGATATGGCAAAAAATTCATATCACGATATACATTATGATGAGTGGCAGTAACAATATATATCACGATATAAAAC